TATATATATATATATATATATATATATATATATATATATATATATATATATATATATATATATATATATATATGTCTTCACTTCTTCTTCTCTCTCTCTCTCTCTCTCCCTCTCCCTCTCATGTTTTCACACCTGTTCTCTAGATACTTAATATTATCAGAGAAGAGAAAGGTGAGAGTGGATTAGACAGGTTATGTCACAACTACCTGTTCCCTCCAGTATAGCCAGCTCCTCCTTAACCTGGTTTACCTGATTTACCTGGCTGAACAGTCTTATGAATATCATGACACATACACAGGATATTCTCATTACAAAACCATTGAGTCATGATTTCCTCTACGGCAGTGGGTGGGAGCTGTCACTATAGTCCTTGGTAATTTGTTTTTCCTTCATAGATTTCTGTGTCATTATATTAATGCACAATGTATATTTGGGTGTCACAGGTATAATTTTTTATACCTAGAAATGTGTACAGAAATGATAACAGGGGCGGATTCAGAGATGTTTACTGACAGTCTTCCAAATTATCTTTGTTGATTCATCCTCCAATTTTGACCGTCTTCCAACAGAAAAAATTAGATACCCGTCAATGTAAACTTGAAAANTTAGATCCCCGTCAATGTAAACTTGAAAATCTGACCGTCTTCCGGAAGACCCAGAAGACGGCCTAAATCCGCCCCTGGATAATGCAGGTTTGTATACATCCATACATAACTGCACACTGCCAGCACAAGCTTAGACCCCATTTCCAGAGATTAGATCGATCTACTTTAGATCAACCTAACTCCCTGGGGGGTTCACGCTAAATAGCTGTCAGCAGAGCGGACACCAAAGTTAATTACCCCCTTACAGCTTGTAGTAGGCGGGATGGACATTTAAGCCGGATTATCTAACAGTAATCTAGTGAGACTCCTCGCAGGGATAGATCGATCTAAAAGCTCTGGGAATACAGCCTTAGTCAAAGGTAATTAACCCATTTTAAGCAAGATTGAATATAATACCAATTTGTTACTCCCCCCCCCCCCTTTCCAACCCCATCTACTGGTAGTTTTAAAACAAATTTCACATGAATACACAGAAGAACTTTCTGAAGGCAGGAAACAGGAAATATTCTGATTCATTCAGTACATAACAGTGCATAGTGTTAAGTAAAAACTCATTTCTGTATTAAAACTATCTCTTTCTGGCCAGAGGTAATACAACATGTTGACCCTTGATGACCTAAACTGGTATTATGAAAATAACAGACATACTAGCTGCAGATGGAGGTGTACCCTCTTAAAGCAGGGTCAGGTGTTAATTTATAAAAATAACAGACATACTAAGGGCAGATGGAGGTGTACCCTCTTATAGTAGGGTCAGGTGTTAATTTATAAAAATAACTGACATACTAGGAGTATATGGAGGTGTGCCCTCTTATAGCAGGGTCAGAGACTTCAGGAAAAAAAACATTCAGTAAATATTTATATTTATGAAGAGAAAAACTCAATATATGGACAACATATTCTCTGAGTTAAGTAAAGTAAAAACAGATCATAATAGGTATCATTCACATAACTGTGGACATGTATCATTTTTCCTAATGTTACATATGGTGTATATGTCTGTGGCCTTTTTCTTCTTTTTTTCAAATATGAAATAAACCTGTATATGAGGTGATAAGCCCAGAATGTGATTTTTTCTGAATGGACGTACCATTCAAAAGCACTAGTTTCAGATAAATAGTGGATGAAGTGAGAAATGCGTTGGAGATAAATGATGGATAGGTACGTCAGGTGTATCATTTAGCAGGCGTTTCTGCTAGCCATTCATTAAAGCTGCAGACGTGGGTGGAATTATTTGCTGTAAGATAAATTTGTCTTTTTATCCATAGAGTGTTAAAACTGTTAGGAGTTGGGTGTGTTAAGGTGTTTTTGTGTATGTGTATCATATGTTTATTTCAGTTTTGTCTTACAAATATTTATTTATTTATTTATTTATTTGTTTATTTGTTATTTTATTTATTTATTTATTTATTTATTTATTTATTTATTTATTTATTTATTCCAGCTGCTGTCCTCACTCAGGGTAAGATCTCAGTAGACTGCCGCCATCATGAGCACCACGCAGACCACCACGACTACCATCATGCCGTCAGAGGACCCGGGCTACATCAGGAGTGTGCCAGGCATTCTTAAGATTGTAGAAATTGTGAGTAAATCTGATATAACTGGGATTCTTCAAGCTAATAAAACTATTCAAAATTGCTATGACTCAGAAGGCATACTTTTCTGTTAGGTTAGGCGTTTAATAATACGATCCGCAGATATTTTAGCACCAACACCCATATTAACCACATAACCCACAAATAAACCAGCACTACCAGAGCGGATGGATGTTAGTGCTATGTAACATTTTGTTAGTGCTAAATAACTGTATGGTGTGCTGGTTAATTTGTGGGTTTGGTGGTTAATATGGGCATTAGTGCTAAAAGATCTGCGGGTAGTGTTAGTAAATGCCTAATCCAATTGTAAGGCCTGAATGGGTTTTATGATTTTTCAGTATAATATAACTGAATTATGATATACCTTGATGGAAACATTTGATCTTAATTGCCTGTAAAAACTTAACTGAAATTCAGTTGGAAAAAGAAAAGCTGAGGAAAGTCTCAAAAGTGAATGAGCTATGCCAGTTAGGCTTACAGTTGTAGTTGTGGCAGATATACAGTCGTCATGTAACTGGGGATTTGGTTGTGCTGGATTGTGACAAAATTCACAACTACAGCAATGTGACTGGGAATTGATGCCACTTATTGATTTAACTTTTATAAGAAATCCTCTGTCTTGACTTAGTCATCTAGTTAAATATTTGAAAATTGATGCCATTGAAGTTAGTAATATAATTGTTATTTATCCACAAGTTCTTAGTGTACTTGTGTTCAACTGGATGATCAAAGCCCCTAAATACTCCGTACCAGTGTAGATTTAGGTGCAGATCAAATAATGGGAACATTCATCACAAGTTGACGTAATTAACAGATCAGTGGATCAAATGTGGCCAGCTCACTTGAAATCTTGCTGCATTTTCTCCTAATACACACTAAATAGATTCTCCATAGGGATTACACAGTAAGTTTTCAAGTGGGTCGGCTATATTTGATCTACGTCTCTGTTAGCGTCTGGATAGACTTGGTAGTGAATGCAACCAATGATAATTTCCAAATTGAATAAAATATGCATAATCATAATTTCACATACATACTTAATTCAAACAGAGACACAGAATTTTGATTTCTTTATTTAACTCATTATTTCATATTTTCAGATCCTGTGCCTGGTTGTGTTCATCTGTGTGATCATAGCCCCTGGATACGGCGGGTCTGGTTGGGTGTGGTTCATCGCCATCTCCGCCTTCATCACCACTCTCATCCTGCTCATCTTCCATGTCGTCGGCCTCATCAGCAGATTGCCAGGACCATGGATGTTAATTGTAAGGAAACAGAAAGGGAAGGGTGGATCACTAAGGCCCCAGATTTGGTCTTAAAGTGCAATTACAGATCACAACTGATCTGGTGTGGTCTTAAAGATTAACTAAGCAGTCTTAAATTGCTCTTAAGATGCAGTGAGTAAGATTATAATTAGACTGACTTCCCCCTTCAGTTGTAAAGTAATTATTTCCCCAGCAAGAAGATTAGGTATGAATTTCATTCATTTGATAACATCATTGAACTGATAAGACTTGAATTATTAAAGCAGTTTAAAAGAAGTGATTGAGATTCAAATTATTTTGCCAAAGTAATGTATTTTTTCTTTATTTTAGGAATTCATCTACTACATTGTGATAGCAGTATTCTTCCTGATTGCCTTCATCATAGCTGCAGTTGGTTGTAGATACGGTTATGCCTCAATCATAGCAACAGCCGTAAGTTCTTCAAAATTAGAAATGAAAACAGAAATAAATTGAATTGTTGTGTTAAAATGACAGAATGGGGCTTCAGTTTTCTTAAATCCATTGATATTAAAATGATTTTGTTACATGAAACCGTTTTCTTGGCTCCACCCAAGTAAAGAAACTTGCCAAGTTCTACAACATGATTGTAACTTGAATTTTTATCCATATGTTTTCCTTAGCAAATTCCTTTGTACATGTACAGTGTCAGTATAACTTATTGTAAAAACTGTATTTGGCTATTTGATTTTTTTCTGTTTCAGATATTTTGTTTTGCGTCCTGTGCGGTGTTTGGAGTGGATACATATTTCCAGTTTCAAGCATGGAGGACATCACAGACCACCACCATCTCCACCGGACCTGCATAGAGAAACAGGCAGGAAAACAAGATGAACTCCATCAATGACTTAGCAAATTTTATACTGCAACAATGCGCGAGATCATACAACACTCAAGTTTTTAGCTTTGATGTTTTTAAGAAGAACTAAGAACCTGTTTTAATAAGAATATAAAGCATCTCAAATGACAAAAGTTTGATGCCGTCAATAAGAATATTGAAACCTTCCTAATGTGAGACGACTCCATGGTCTTTCATCTCAGTTATTCACTATAAGGATGTAAGGATACAAAGTATCTAAAGGAAGAGGAAATGTGAATGTGATTTATGTCTTACTCTTACTGGTGCTATGCTAAGGTTTTTAGAGACTATAATCAGTTTATCCAGCAGAAATTTCAATTATTCGTAGTGTTAAGTGAGCAGTTTCCAAACGACAAGGTATGAAGCAAACAAAAACTTCTCCAAGATGTGCACAGACCAATACTATAATACTTCAGTCATTAACCTCTGGATTACATCACAGTATGACCAAGTTACTTCTGACATATTGCCATGCATTTTTTTTAGTTTAGAATAATAGGGTAATAGGTAATAGGGCAACTTGCTGTCAGCTGAGGTTGTGTTAACAATGAAGATAGGCTGACCCTTCTTTGTCCTTTCCATCTCTGAGAAAACAGAGTTCAGCAGATGTGGTACTTTTGCTTCCAGTCTTGGTCATTTTTGGACTTCATCAGCCCCCAGTGCCCTTTCTTCCTACTTTTTTCTTACCATTCAAAATGGTGGCTGTCTTCTGGGTCCTCTGGAAGACGGTCAGAATTTTTCAAGTTAACATTGAAAGGCATCTCTTAATTTTCTGTCAAAAGACAATCAAAAATGGAGGATAGATCGACAAAGATATTTTTGAAGACTGTCATAAAATATTTCTGGATCTGCCCCTGTAGAGGGAAGTTGTTTATCTTTCATGTAAATAAACCTTTTAAGCAGGCCATGTGCCAAGGGGATACTGAAGTTAGTTTCTAGTTTTCAGTTTCGTTTTTTCAAAAATTAACCAACTGTCAACCAGACACTAGTGTCATTTTTTTTCAAAATTGAACCTGGCAACTAGAAACTTGTTTCTTTTGTCAAAAAAAAATTCTGGTAGCCAAAAACTAGTGTCGTTTTTCAAAAAATGATTCTGATGCTGAAAAACCAGAAATGTTTTTGCAGTGGGAGACAAGAGTGGATGGAAGAAGAAGCATCAGGCTATTAGCGCCTATTTTTAGATTCTCTGCATGGAGCTAATTGGACATTTAAAAGTTTTCTATTTATATTATTCACATCTCAACAATTTTGTTACTTTATCATATAAAAATGAAAGTAAATGGGTTATTTTGTATTATGTAAAAAAGTGCTGAAAATGGAAATAAACTCATTTCAGAAATTTTCTCTTGTTTACATTTTGGCATTTTCAAAATGTGACTTTGAAGTTCCAGTGGACACTGCCTCAATAGTAACCATTAAAGGAAAACCATGTCACTTACTATTCTCAAACTTACAGAAAAGAAACATAGGACTAAAACACAGCTTCAGTTGGCATTTTCAAGGTGTGACTTTGAACTTCCACTGGCTTGAAGACATTTGTTAGACATATTTTCTGAATATCCATGATACTTTTATATTATTATTAAAACATGATGGTAATTATGCTATTAAGCAATTTGCATCAATACTGAAGATAACCCTATTTTGGGCACTGCTGCCATAATGACCATTACAGAAAAACCATGCAACTTATTCTTCTCAAACTTACTGAAAAGGTCCATAGGACTGAAATGCAGCTTGTGTTGGAACACTTGTCTGAATGAATTCTCTTCTGGAAGCAATTTAGTTCTTTATGAAATTTTCATTTTTCACGTATTTTCCCCATGTGGGGCTTAGAACTCCCATGGGCATGAAGCTGAATTGTAACCAAACTTTCTAAATGTTATATATGGCACATTACCGTATGGTAGATAATTAAAAATAGTTGGTGATTATCTTAATGATGTGCGAGTTTCCCTACCCCTTACCTGGACGGTGGCACTCTTGTCTCGACTGGCTCAAGTTGCTCAAAGCTCTCAGCTTCCCTGAGTATGGAGGATGAGGAGAGCTGTCCAAAGGTCGGGGCAACCAGGCCACTGTTAGGGGAGGGACGGGAATTTTGGTACACACCTTATTTGGCTTATGCAAAAAAAGAATTAGGCAGTATAATTATTATTTTTATTTATGTATTACTAATCTCTGAGTAATTCGCCCCTCCCTAAAGGTTACGAGAAAAGATCGAAATGGTAATGAATGAATCAATAGAAGAAATCAAACCAAATCCACATTCACTTTTAGCTATGCCTGGGCAGAAATGCAAATATTGTAGTCTACGCTTCTCCTCCCGCTCGAATAGGAGACGACATGAGTCAAGTGCTCATAAAAAATACCAATGTGAAGTAAGGGACTGTGAAAGAGCTTATGCCACTGAAGAAGAATTACTGAAACACAAGGCGGCCAGACACCAAGAACCCCTAGAGTTAGTTGTCAACACAGAAGAAGAGATCTCTTTACTTGACTCGAGGAAGTCACCCCAACCAACTTAGAAATGTAAAGAGCCCTCAGCAAAAGTAAGAAGACCCACGCAAGGTGGAAAAGGAATAACAATGGATATGACCCCCATACTGCCGGTGGAGGGGTGGTGTTCAAAAGATGAGGAACACCCCTACATCTCCAAACCATCCCTTCCCTCCCCCATATGAGTACAGAATGGAAATGCCAAATTGTATGCTCGTGTCAGGAAATTCAGAAGAAGAAGTAATTTACCCAGACGGCAAGAAGGAAATACATGTAGTTAGAAATTTCTAGTGTTAATTCATTTTTGATATTTGCTAGTTGATTTCTTTATTTCACTATAACTCCTAACTGACTGTGCACTTATGAACTATGAACTGAATGAACTGTGAATTGTCACCGACATTTGAGCTGAGATTCAATTTTAATTTATCATTTTTTTTTTCTAATAATAAAAGGATGTCAAGCTACCTCACCGCCTGTTGTTGATTCAGGGGGATAAAATTTAAAAGGGTGGGGGCAGTGTAACAATTGGGGTCAGTGAGGGTACGAATCCGCCATAAGAAATTATTATACGCAATGTAAACACGGGCTACGCGATCGTCTGCTATAACCTCTTTTTTTTTCTTAAGCACTATGCACTAAATCTCACCCAAAAACTTCGTTTTCCTTAGAGTCATATGTCCTAGTGTTTATCCAAACGAACTCCGTAGTAAAGTCTTTCATTTTAATCCATAATAAGGTGAAAATAGCCCAAAAAATTTTATGTCCCGCTTCCATGACTTTTGACGGTGGTGGCGGTGGTGATTATTTATAATATGATAGTTTATTTCTGCTAAGGCGTTCAATTTTTGTTTTACGCATCGAAGTGATAATTGACAAAATAAATTTATACCTCAAATAAAACAAAACTGCGTTAATGATATTTTTGTTTCTATTATGAAGATGTTAATACAAAATTTTTAGGCGCGTATTCTACAAAATTCTTGAAATGTAGGTAACATCTTTCGAAGGATTGATTCCAACCCAGCCACAAATGCTGACATCGCTTATTAAGTCACTCTAAGAACGCCACACGATTCGTCGTAGGTCTCTTCAGGAAGTGTGCGAATTTTAATTTGATTATGTCGAATGTATAGGTTGAATCTGACCTCATCGGCGAAATCCTCATGATTCCATTCTTGTGCCGCTATTAGATCCTAGTCCACTGCAGAAGTAGTCGGCGGTGCTGCTCTGTCGACAGAGGCTTCCTCAGAGGTCGTCTTGCACAGCCTAGTCGAAGTTTTGTTTCATTATCTGAAGTTTTCGTTATGAAATAATATATTAGTACAGTGCATGTATTTTTTTCTTTTCAGTTCGATTAAAATACTAGCACTTGGCCGATTTTGATAGTTTAATCTATTCAAAGGTTCTAATAATAGGTTTATTTATTCTATCAAAACATTTTACATCATATTACACTGATGTAGTTTTACATGGTTTGGATACCTATAGTAAACAGGTCAAAAATGTCAGCTGACCGTGAGCAGAGATGATGCCCGTATAGATTGTAGATAACATATACTGTTGGTGTTATTTTCATAAATGACGACTTTATTTGTATATTTGCCAGATCGAATTGCATTATTATCGCCATTGCTGTGGTGCTGAATATTAAGCACGCGCACGCACATGCACACACACACACACACACACCCACACACGAACATATACACACTAAAACAATCTGCTGAGCTACTGAATGCAACAGAGAAGATAATTTCTGTTCCCTCCAGGTGGTTTTGTAGAGCGGTTTGGTTTGTCAAACGTAGTAAAAACTTCAGATTGCAGCATGCAGTAGACCATAGACTGGGGCGCTGAAGTTAATGACTAGTGTCTAGTTTATAATTGCGTTTTTCAAAAACGAATCTGGCGACCAGAAACTAATTTCGTTTTTCAAAAAAAAAAAACGAACCTGGCAACCAGAAACTATTGTCATATTTAAAAAAAAAACGAACCTGCCAACAAGAAACTGGTGTCGTTTTTCAAAACTATTCTGAGAAACCAGAATCGCTTTTGCGGAAGAAAACAAGAGTTGATAGAGGAAGAGGTGACCGGAGACTAACACCTATTGCGACCAAGCAAACTCTACCGTGGAAGCTGGGCAAGTTCTCACTGTCCCTCCTCACCGTCTAGGGAGACCGAGACGACCGCCGATCAGTCTATACGGGGAACAGGCAGCCTTAACAGCGGACGCCGGGCAAGGTGTTACGCCGATTGGTCTTCACAGCGCACAGACCGGCCCATGGGGGTCTCGCCTTGTTGTAAGGTGGACAATTCAATAAACCTGTGAAACGTCAAGATTTTCCTTTAAAAGTGTCCATCGATCTTTCAAGAAGTAGAAAGAAAGAAAGAAATATCAATAACCTTACGGTCACGCTGAGAATCCTGTTTTATCTATCACAATCCCACCCCAGTTCGTTCATTCGACCTATGAAAGCTGAGTTACGCCATATAAACTTTGTTGGCATTTAAAATGCGTTTTTATTTTTATTTATTCATTTTTGTTGTCTGTGTGTGTGTCATTATGACTTTTTTCAAACCCTAATCCTCTTTTCGAGATGGAGATTTTTTGTGCCTGCTCATAAACCAGATTATAATTCAAACCGAAGCGTTCGCACAGAAAGTAGGTGACCTCTTTATTATGTAAATCAGGTGACCATGTTAGTGAAAGGTGTTCAGGTAGGACCAAGGTCAGTAGAAGACGGAGAAGGATGTCCCATAAGCCATATTACTGCTACTGCCACATGTAAGCCGAAAAGATGGCACTGAAACCAGCGGCAGTATCTCGTAAGTTACGTACAGATGATAGAAAATGTATTGTAGCATTTCTTAGTTTTTCATTGATGATATTTTCTCGAAACGGTGCACTCTAGGCATAATGACCACGTGGACATCTAACTGACGTGAAGGATACTTTCTCTTAGTTTTCCCTCAATGGCTTTTGGGCACCCTTTTGTAGCCCTCGTCATCAAAACAAACGGCAGCCATNGTCAACACAGAAGTAGAGATCTCTTTACTTGACTCGAGAAAGTCGCCCCAACCAACTGAGAAAAGTGAAGAGCCCCCAGCAAAAGTAAGAAGACCCACGCAAGGTGGAAAAGAATAAGAATGGATATGACCCCCATACTGCCGGTGGAGGGGTGGTGTTCAAAAGATGACGAACACCCCTACATCTCCAAACCATCCCTTCCCGCCCCCATATGAGTACAGAACGGAATTGCCAAATTGTATGCTCGTGTCAGGAAATTCAGAAGAAGAAGTAATTTACCCAGACGGCAAGAAGGAAATACATGTAGTTAGAAATTTCTAGTGTTAATTCATTTTTGATATTTGCTAGTTGATTTCTTTATTTCACTATAACTCCTAACTGACTGTGCACTTATGAACTATGAACTGAATGAACTGTGAATTGTCACCGACATTTGAGCTGAGATTCAATTTTAATTTGTCATTTTTTTTCTAATAATAAAAGGATGTCAAGCTACCTCACCGCCTGTTGTTGATTCAGGGGGATAAAATTTAAAAGGGTGGGGGCAGTGTAACAATTGGGGTCAGTGAGGGTACGAATCCGCCATAAGAAATTATTATACGTAATGTAAACACGGGCTACGCGATCGTCTGCTATAACCTCTTTTTTTTTTCTTAAGCACTATGCACTAAATCTCACCCAAAAACTTCGTTTTCCTTAGAGTCATATGTCCTAGTGTTTATCCAAACGAACTCCGTAGTAAAGTCTTTCATTTTAATCCATAATAAGGTGAAAATAGCCCAAAAAATTTTATGTCCCGCTTCCATGACTTTTGACGGTGGTGGCGGTGGTGATTATGTTTATTTCTGCTAAGGCGTTCAATTTTTGTTTTACGCATCGAAGTGATAATTGACAAAATAAATTTATACCTCAAATAAAACAAAACTGCGTTAATGATATTTTTGTTTCTATTATGAAGATGTTAATACAAAATTTTTAGGCGCGTATTCTACAAAATTCTTGAAATGTAGGTAACATCTTTCGAAGGATTGATTCCAACCCAGCCACAAATGCTGACATCGCTTATTAAGTCACTCTAAGAACGCCACACGATTCGTCGTAGGTCTCTTCAGGAAGTGTGCGAATTTTAATTTGATTATGTCGAATGTATAGGTTGAATCTGACCTCATCGGCGAAATCCTCATGATTCCATTCTTGTGCCGCTATTACATCCTAGTCCACTGCAGAAGTAGTCGGCGGTGCTGCCCTGTCGACAGAGGCTTCCTCAGAGGTCGTCTTGCACAGCCTAGTCGAAGTTTTGTTTCATTATCTGAAGTTTTCGTTATGAAATAATATATTAGTACAGTGCATGTATTTTTTTCTTTTCAGTTCGATTAAAATACTAGCACTTGGCCGGTTTTGATAGTTTAATCTATTCAAAGGTTCTAATAATAGGTTTATTTATTCTATCAAAACATTTTACATCATATTACACTGATGTAGTTTTACATGGTTTGGATACCTATTGTAAACAGGTCAAAAATGACAGCTGACCGTGAGCAGAGATGATGCCCGTATAGATTGTAGATAACATGTACTGTTGGTGTTATTTTCATAAAAGACGACTTTATTTGTATATTGGCCAGATCGAATTGCATTATTATCGCCATTGCTGTGGTGCTGAATATTAAGCATGCACACGCACACGCACACACACACACACACACATACACATACACATGCACATACACACACACATACACACACATGCACATACACATACACACACATGCACATGCACACACACACATACACATGCACATACACACACACACACATGCGCGCACACACACACACACACACACACACACATGCACATACACACACACACACACGAACATATACACACTAAAACAATCTGCTGAGCTACTGAATGCAACAGAGAAGATCATTTCTGTTCCCTCCAGGTGGTTTTATAGAGCGGTTTGGTTTGTCAAACGTAGTAAAAAACTTCAGATTGCAGCATGCAGTAGACCATATAAGGATGGGACGCTGAAGTTAGTGACTAGTGTCTAGTTTACAATTTCGTTTTTCAAAAACGAACCTGGCAACCAGAAACTATTGTCATATTTAAAAAAAAACGAACCTGCCAACAAGAAACTGGTGTCGTTTTTCAAAACTATTCTGAGAAACCAGAATCGCTTTTGCGGAAGAAAACAAGAGTTGATAGAGGAAGAGGTGAGCGGAGGGTAACATTTTCCGCGACCAAGCAAACTCTTCTGTGGAAGCTGGGCAAGTTCTTACTGTCCCTCCCTCCCGTTTAGAGAGACCGAGACGACCGCTGATCAGTCTATACGGGGAACAGGCAGCCTTCACAGCGGACGCCGTGCAGGGTGGTACGCTGATTGGTCTTCACAGCGCACAGACCGGCCCATGGGTGTCTCGCCTTGTTGTACGGTGGACAATTCAATAAACCTGTGAAACGTCAAGATTTTCCTTTAAAAGTGTCCATCGATCTTTCAAGAAGTAGAAAGAAAGAAAGAAATATCAATAACCTTACGGTCACGCTGAGAATCCTGTTTTATCTATCACAATCCCACCCCAGTTCGTTCATACGACCTATGAAAGTTGATTTATATGCCCAGTTACGCCATATCAACTTTGTTGACATTTAAAATGTGCTTCTATTTTTATTTATTCATTTTTGTTTGTCTGTGTGTGTCATTATGACTTTATCAAACCCTATTCCTCTTTTCGAGATGGAGACTCTTAATTTGTGCCTTCTCATAAACCAGACGATAATTCAAACCGAAGCGTCCACACGGAAAGTAGGTGACCTCTACATCATTATGTAAATCAGGTGAGCGTTTTGGTGAGAGGTGCTCAGATAGGACCAAGGTCAGTAGAAGATGGAGAAGAAGGATGCCCCATAAGCCATATTACTGCTACTGCCACATGTAGGCCGAAAAGATGGCACTGAAACCAGCAGCAGTATCTTGTAAGTTACGTACAGATGATAGAAAATGTATTGTAGCATTTCTTAGTTTTTCATTGATGATATTTTCTCGAAACGGTGCACTCTAGGCATAATGACCACGTGGACATCTAACTGACGTGAAGGAGACTTTCTCTTAGTTTTCCCGCAATGGCTTTTGGGCACCCTTTTGTTTTTGATGTTATTAGCATTTTATGAAGGTTCTATATATATTTGTATAATTTTAAAGCTTAATTGCAATTTGTTAATTATAACGTAAAGGATACTTACATGAATAGCTGCTTTATCAGATGTTTAAACATTGTTTTATGAATGTGAATTTCTTCCTTTAATGCCAGTGACTCTAAGTACCGTTTACGAAGATACCATGCAGAAGCGTCCTACTCAGAGACACGTCTCGTGTTTGACACATACAGCGCCACACCCATGCCATGATTGCCTCCCATGCCGACGTTTGTCTGCTCGTTAATTTGCAGGGACGACATTTAGTACGGACTGTTATGTTTGATTTTGGTTGTAACATTCTGCTCCAAAACGTATATCAAATTAAAAGTCGAATAAAATTAGCTTTTTATTAATGAAACTTCTCCCAGTAATTACATCCGTACTAAGCGTCCACCCTGCATGTTGCTGGTTTGCTCTTTTTGGTAATTTTATGTAACTATGTCGTAGTACAGTGCTCTATCTGATCATAGTGTTTTGAGGGTAATTTATGTATACTTTTGTGTCGGGTTTGATACCCGTCCTTTTTCGGACCAGAAATATTAGATTTGAATTTCTTATTTAACAGAAATAATATCTGAATGAAAATTATCATATATTAATTTCCAAGAAGAGAATATTTTCTATTTGTCACTGAAAATATGTGTGGGCAAATCTGCAACTTGACACCTCGCTGTAAACTTGAAGATATTCTCTTATTCATTCTAAAAGTTGATTTCTGGTAACCCCGTTACGTAAAATGCATATTGGAAAGTTTTAATTACATTTATCGTGTGCTCAGTCGAAAAAGGGGAAGAAATGTAAATCTACAAAAGACACTGTTAATAAAACGTAGAATTCCTTAGAAACCCCAACATTTTGTAGCGGCAAAATGTGCCCACGTTACTGCAGAATTGTCCACGTGTACTGTAACGATTTTTAACAATTCTGAACCTGACACTGCATGCATAAAATGCATAAAATCTTCGACTCGTTTTATTAACAGATATTTTTTCTGTTTATTAAATTTTAATTTATGTCAATAAAATGCACAAAATGTTATATTTCCATAATTTTAATGCCGTAAATAATTCATTTTCATAGTAAGGCGTTCAGCGCAGTGTGAGATGTCATCCAGATCAGTCACTTTACAGCTGGGTCGTGGAAGAAGAAGACGCAAGATAGGTGTGGTGAAGTCGCAAGGCCGAATATTCTATTAATTGGAATAAATTTGTCTTGTGAGTAACATCTTTTCAGCAAGCAAGGCATACAAGAAGGGGAACGCGTACAGTTTATTTTGCGTAACTCGATAGTTAGACTAGTGTATAACTACCGCCTATGTCATTGGCATACGAGTAATTTTCTGGTTTTCCGGTTTTGTGAGTTTCATGCAACTTGTATGTAAGTGTTTGTCAATAGCATGTATTTTAATACCTACAATAATTAAAATTCGAAATTTAATGGACACTGTGTCGATTATAATGACCGAAATGTTCTTTGTGCTAAAGACGTTTCTTACAAAATTTCCGCATTTCTTCGAGTTCAAATTACCAAGAAATAATATCCTTATATTTTCACACTGCCTTTACTACTTGTTAGTCTGGGTGGTACACTGGATTTTGGAAATATTATGATAATCTCGAGAAAAACGCCGTCAAAAGAGACATAAATAATATGAAGAAAGTTGTCATATTTTATATCATTTTTTGGTGTCCAGATTCAGCCAAATTAAACCGACTTACTGTTAATTTGACAACTGAAAAAAATTAGTATTTTCGGAACAATTCATGCAGTAAGAACATTATAAACTGGACTGTGGAAAAATCTTGCTTGATTTAAAGAGAATTAGTTTCCGTGGGATGTTTTCCGGTTTTTATAATGATCTTTACATGTTGTACAAGAGTGATATTGTGCTGTTCATTATTAGATCTGTTAATCATTCACGAGAAAACTAAATTATGCACTATGTCATTTGCCGTCTATAAACTTTTTACTCAGTTCAGTAATATATTCTGTTCCTTGACGGAATTCTTCGTATTAGTTTAAACCTTTACTCTGAGAAAGCTATCCAATATTAATATTGGTCGTGTTTTTCATATCATTCTTGTAGTGATATAGATGTGGGTGAACGACATCCATTGAAATTTGTGAAATATCGGAGAAGTTTGGATCTTGAACTGCATGCCTCTTCCATTATCATTTTACCTTAACTTACTTTAAGTGGCATGGGTTGTTTAATTGTGCCATTAACGTGTGTTATTTTCTTATTTCAGAACACTGTAATTTCCTTTGCCAAGATGCTGCAAAATGCATATACGACTGATAGAAGCTGACCTAGTCTTCCGTATTTTCAAAATGATAGCTTTAAAATAAATTTTCTGCATACTCGTATGGCGCACTAAGATTGATCGTGCTTCACTTTTCTTAAAGTCAGACATCAATTATTTTTATTATCAAATAATGCCATAAGGATTGATCGATATAAATAATAAAATGAATATAATTAGATGATAAAACTTTAATTTGATTCCACTGAACCAGTCAGTTTTTTTTCCCAATTTTTGTTATGCCATAGTTTCATAATATAAACCCTATACTATAATATGAAAAGCCATAATATAATCTCAAAGTGCTTACATATCACAACTTTCAAATTTAAAGTTGCATCTTCACTAGATCGCAAGTTGAAATTCGAGTACGAATATTTATTGTGATTTACTATTGTAAAATTCGTTATGATGATATACATTGTAGAAGAAAACTTTTATTTTATCATTTGTAACTTAACTCTGACATTTGTGAACGTAAATAATTTTTGCCTGAATAAATACGCTTTTTGAAGACGTTTTCAGTTAGATTTTATAGATACAAAAGTGAAAATAATAGTAGTATTGATATACTTTGGATTTTAAGAACTCTCTATTTGGAACGTGACAGTTTGGGCGAGTCCATTCGTTGTTGATGGAAGGCAGGTCGGTCTAGTCCTTTTAATTTAGTGGGGTGGGAAGAGTCTATTTTGTTTTTGAGGGGTGACAGGTGGGGCGAGTCCATTCAATTTTAGGGGAGGCAGGTGGGAAGAGTCCATTATTTTTTAGGGGTGACAGGTGGGGCGAGTCCATTCAATTTTAGGGGAGGCAGGTGGGAAGAGTCCATTATTTTTTAGGGGTGACAGGTGGGGCGAGTCCATTCAATTTTAGGGGAAGCAGGTGGGAAGAGTCCATTATTTTTGAGGGGTGACAGGTGGGACGAGTCCATTATATTTTCGAGGGGTGACAGGTGGGATGAGTCCATTTTGTTTTCGAGGGGTGGCAGGTGGGGCGAGCCCATTCAAATTTAAGGGGCAACAGGTGGGGAAAGTCCATTTAAATTTAAGGGGTGACAGGTTGGAAAAGTCCATTACGTTTTGAGGGATGACAGGTAGGGGTAGTCAATTACTTTATTAGGGTTGATAAGTGAGACGATTAAAGATTGTAAGAGCATTTACTGCATAGGACTACTTGGAATTCAAAATTGGTTTCCAAATACACAGAGGAATTGGAAATAATTTGAATATTATTTTGAATAGACCAGGCAAAGTACATACAAATAATTTAAAAAGAATAGCACTCAGAGGCATGTGATCAGTTCTATATAATCAAAATAAAACGTCCCAATTTCTGGAACAGCCATTTACTAAAAACATATCATTTACTAAAAAGTGGCAGACTCTTTTTCACTTGATCATTTTATTCAGATTTGTAATTAAATGGTATATACACAAGTATTTAGATAGTCAAATTGGCAGTAGCAAAAAACACAAGAATGTCCTATAAAAAACTATGAATGACATTATGAAAAGTGAAGAAATGATATTCTGGAGGATGGACAAATTTGTTCTGACGTACGTTGAAAATATCATGACATGGAACAAGATTTAGAAAAAAATTTAGAAACAAAATCAAACTTCAAAAAGCTGGTGTGCAATTACACTTTATAAATGTGTTTATAGGAAATATTTTGGTTCACCTACAGCCTTGCAGCAGACTTTAGATTTTTAAGTATTCAAATACTATCGTTTTTAAAGATACATATCGTTTTTAAAAATACAAGGTACGTTTGCAAAGCTTTTAAACCTTTTTTCTTTCAAATATTTTCATGTAATACCAGGGGCAATATTATATTAGGTAGATTAAATTTGAAACTGCTGAAATAGCTATTATATTGATATCTTCACACTCCTTTTCTATCTATTACTACTATCATTTTCATACTTTTTCATATCAAAATATAAGACAAAATCCCAGAGAAATATATTTATTAAATTCTCATAAAATAAATGCTTGAATAAGCGCAGAGTTCCTGAATGTGAACCAAAGGTAAGGCTGCCAGAGGTGCATGTTGAGCTGTACCTCGGTGGGTTTCTGAAATGAGAAAATTATTTTTAGCAATTTTTTTACTTAAACTGACGGGGTCTTAAATTGTTACTAATGAATGATATATCACATGGGATAGAGTAATTGCCTTGTCCAAAATATAGGCAAGCAGGAAATAAGTCGAGGTTGTCTTATTTTAGACATGATCCAAAATGAATGAATAATATACTTAGAGAATACTCCAAGAATGCAGACCTCCAAGTTAATGGTAAATAATGGTAAATAATAATAATAATAATAATAATAATAATAATAAATATATAAAAATACGTGGAAACCCAAATTCAGTAATCGTAATAATTTCTTTCCCATCTGAATATCTGTGCGTCTCAAAAATTCATCAAAATATGCAGAGGACATTTAGAAATATCTTGCTTAAAAATCAAGACAACCCATTTCATTTGGGGATCGTAATTACGCGTGCTTTTGAATGTTATCACGCCCTTGGAATTCAGGGCAGAAACCACCAGATAATTTCCCCTTGGCGAACATACTAAGAAATGTCTGCAAAACTGCATGAACAAAATAATTTAATGAAACATTTCCTAACACCATGGACAGCAGACACACTGACATAACTCCCAAAGGCACAAAGATTTACTGTTGAAAAGCTTTTCTTACCGGCAGTACTTGATCACGTGGACCCCTCTTGTTTGTAAACGCCTGTATCTGGTCCTGGAAAAAATATGCATAGTTTACACCTTAGCCTGCTAGTTGACACCAGAATGAACCCTAGCAAAACACGCAAGAAATGTCAGGAACAACGCTTTACACCCAAACCCAATATAGAGATGCATTTCACGTGCTGAAGTGTCCAAAACTGAATGAATTCAAAGTTGTATTCTATTTTTTAACATATATGTGTATAGAACAAAAATCTACCACTGTCTCAACATCAATTTAATATTTAATTTTTACCATGTTTTTATATTATGTAAAAAGCTCTAAATGGAAACCAGTGGCAGATTAAGAGGGGGGGTCAGACGGGTCCTGACCCCCCCCCCCCCCACCACCCCTTTGGTTTCTGAAAAATATATCGCACCAATATTCCCCTCTTGAAATAAGAATTTTGAATAGCTAAATCATATTTCTAAACCGTACCAAAGGGCTCCATAACACCAAAAAATTTTCGGGGTCCTTGAGCAGGCCCCGAACCCCACTCCAAGGTGGCGATGCTGATCTCCGAATTCGACGCCTGTCGTTCCTGACCCTTCCCTTCAAATAATCCTGGATCCGCCCCTGTTAACCATAAGGTGCTGTAAATTTTTTTCAAAATCAAATATATACAACATGAAATTTGGAATGTTGTTACTTAGAAGGAAAAATACATTTTTACCATGTTTTGCAAGATATTGTCACAAGCAGTTTGTGAAAAAAATTAACATTTAACGTTAACAGCAACCAATGCGTTCAAATATTCTACTAGAGATACACTTCAGTGGGGAATGAGGGAATCCCTAAAGACATTGATTATTGGAAAATAGCATTTTTGCAATTTAATTGCAAAGTGTGTTATTATTAAACCAATGCAAAATGGAGGGACAAATCATGGTGTTACTTATAAAACTTTGTATTTATATTTCAAAGTCCAAATATTTGTAACGATTTTTTGTAACTTTCTGAACATAAATAATGTTCTCATACAAGAACATTATCATTTCTGCATCTGCTGCTCGATATACCGAAGATGCTGCTGAGATAGAATTGTTAAAAAGCAGCAGGTTTTTTGACAAGAGTAAACTTAGGATCACATGACTGTTCCCTTCATCTTTATGCAAAAGTGAGATCTGTTGAACAAATTAATGCCACAAATGCATGTCATAATTAACTAATAATTACAACAAATACACATACTACTGAAAATATTGTAAAAGCCAAGTTATTTTAGAAAATAAAAATCTGAAAAATTTTAATCTTTTGATAGTATTTTGACAGCTAAGCATTAAACAATTTTAAAAATGGATTGAACTGATTATGTATTATTTGTAAGATCAAAAACGTAGGACTGCTTCAGTATGATTTATTTCTCTTCTAATGGACGTGAATCACCAAACATGCAAAATTACGTGAACAGAGTTTTAAAGGTAGCCTTATTTCGTCTTTTGATGAAAAGGTCAAATTGAGGTTCATTTGTGAGTTTTCCTGGACTAGAAAAATAAGTTTTTTTAGCATTATATTTGCATTAAAAATAAACGTAAAGGCACAACTTGCTGTCTTGCTGAAGAATATCGCAAATAGTTTAACAAACATCACGGAGGCAAACTCTGGCGTGGGGTGCGAGTCCCGAAAATTTTTGGCATTTTAGAGGGCGAACGGTGCAATTTGGTACGGTTTAGAATTATGGCTCAGCTAGTCAAAATTCTAATTTAAGAGGGGAATATCTTTGTCAGTTTTTTCAGAAATCGAAATGGGGGGGGGGGGGGATATATATTCTTTGGCGATATAAAACAAGTTTTGCTATAAATGACTATGCGGTGTTAAATGTGCTGCCTTTTGATATTTTTACAAAAGCTTTAAAATTTGAGAGCGTTTTGATTAGACAACATTAGCCATAAATGAGAAATATCAAAATTGAATTCAAGCATTACTTGCAGATGGGCGCTAGCAATTCGTTCCCTATGCCTTGAAAATGGTTGCTTTCATGATCACTCACGCAGGAACCAGTGTAAGTATTAACTAGGTCACATACTCCATTGGATCGAAATATTACATTTTATGGTATTATTTGTGAAAACATGCCAGAATTAGAAATGGAAGTATATCACTAAACCTTTACCCTTTTCTTTTATTTTCAAGTTTGACTTTTTTGCTTTACTATAATTATGACCCATAACACAAACATGTAAAATCCTCTCTCTAAATTCAACAGCCAAATTTAAAAGAGCCATTCAACAGAATTTCCCCAATCTCGACTATTTCGAATGTACAACTTTACTGCCACTTCTAATTCTACTGATGTAGTTTAAAATTGTGTGTATTTATCATGAGGCACAACTGCAATTTTCACTGTCATGAGGTACGTGATGAAATAAAGGAGGCATGGAGGACACGAAATATTACGTGGGGAAAATATTGGTGGATGGCAAAACCCAGTGTTCAACATGCAGGCGTCAAATCCAATTTTTAAATGCATCAAAGATATGTTACCGTCAAATACCTAAAATCATTGTCTTAGAACGTTTCGTTGAATCGGTTAAAACTATAATATACCTTTGCTTAGTATCCTGCCCTCCTCGCGTCCACACCCTGGTCACTCAGAACTGAAGAAGAAGTGACAACTCTTTCAAGGGTTCAGTTTTAAAATGATCCTATAGGTGGGAGGCAGGAAGAGCTAGGTGACAGACCTTTCTATTTGTTAATTACCATAATTTGACAGATAAAATTTGATTAACAATACACTAAAATAGAAATGCACAGGAAGTTTTTGTTTCCCGCATATTTCAAAATACACTAGATTAAATTAATTAAATTAAGCCTCGGACCCTTTCACACCCCAAAGTAAAATGACATTTTGTAGGTCACTGGCTATCCTTATATGGTCTACCGCATGCTGCAATCTGAGCAGTTTTTGCCAAGTTTGACAAACCAAACCGTTCTATAGCGCCATCTGGAGGGGAAAAGAAATGATCTTCTCTGCTGCAATAGGTAGCTAGTGTGTGTGTGTGTGTGTGTGTGTGTGTGTGTGTGTGTTTAATCTTCAGCACCACAGAAATGGCGATAATAATGTAATTAATTCTGGATTATAATAATATATACAAATAAAGTACTAATCATTTATGAAAATAACAACAAGAGTATATGTTATCTACAATCTGTACGGGCATCATCTCTGCTCACGGTCAGCTGTCATTTTTGATCTGTTAATTATATGAATCCAAAAACGACCATAAAATACTACACCAGTCTACCATATTGTAAAAATGTTATGATAAAATAAGTAAACCCATTATTAAAATAGAATTGAACAGATGAAAAGTATATAGATGAACTGGCTAAGGGCTAGTATTTTTACCGAATTGAAAAGAAAAAAAACGTGCATGTAGCTTACCGTACTGATATGTTTCATTATGAAAATTTCAGATAATGAAACAAAACTCCTACTAAGCTATAACAAGACGACCTCCGAGGAAGCCTCGGTCGATAGAGCAGCACCGCCAATTAATTCTGCAGTGGACTAGGATCTAATAGCGGTTTCAGGCATAACCATGGAATCATGTGGATTTCGCCGTAGTGATAAACCCCTCGGAGATGGGGATAATGATGCACAAATAGGTATACTGTAAATTGTGATGCAACAAAACAAGATGCTTAACAGCAAAGTTAACATCAAATTTTAATTATGCACAAAAAGTAATGCGGATGTAAGTAAACTGTGTATGTAGCATAAGGCTTCAGGCCCATGAGAGTTCAAGTTCACACTTTGAAAATGCCAGAATAAGAAAAATGAAAATTTTCTCAAAAATTTGCATGAAGTAAAAAAAAATATTTATTCAATCAAGCTTGTTTTCCAATTTTAAGCTGTACGTCAGTATTAAGGATCAATCTTGTAAATTACAAAGTAACAAGTAACATGTTTTTTTTTTCATAACGTTTGTGGTGGCAGTACGCAAAGTAGTTTTTTTTTTGTAAATTTTTATGCAATATTACATAATAACTAACAGCAAAATTTTGTATTTCGTAACTATTTAATATACTGAAGGCCTATGTTAAAGCCGAGTGACTTGTGCTTCTTAAAATCAACTTAGAGCTCACTTGATCGTCCGCAAAATATCACAACGAACAGAAACAAACACTTCACAAATTAATTGATATGAATAACAATTTATTTCTAGTTTCTGTTTTTACTTCTTTACTTTTTTCACATCCTACATATAATACACATTCAGTATTCTATATAAATAATTCCTCTCCCTCTACAATTATTAGACATCACATTGCTAACATATTTATTATTTGCTCAACTATTTGATAATGGATGTTAAGGTTGCATGGCAACCAGCACATAACTGCAAAATTGGCATGGCAACCAAATCAGTCAATTAGTAGGTTGGCATAGCAACCAACCCAAGGCTTTTAACCCTTCTGTGGCAGTCATTTTGTGCTGAAAACAAATTCTTATCTGTGTACTGTGGGACTCTTCACCCTGGCAGTCTTCCCATGCCTGGTGTGAGGACAATTTTTTTAATGCAGCAATGTTGGAGTTAAAATGTGAAAATTACATATCTTTTGTGAAATCGAAATAATAACCCTTCAAATGCAGTAATGACCAATATGTTAACACATCGATTCACATAAACGTGTGATAGAGCTGCCCCAATTCATCCTGGGTCAAAACACTCTTCCCAGAATGCCTTAACGACAGAGACATATTTTTGTGTTTACTATTCTGTGCAGAAATTCAGCCATTTGGTAGTAAGGTTGCTATAGCAACCAACCCATTTCGTCTATTTGGCGGTTAATTCTCCAGTCATAAATTCACACTTAATTTCCCTGAATATACAAAAACAACTGAAAATATATAAATGACAAGATAACATGAATATAAAAATACCCAGATACGAGAAACAATAATTACTAATTAACATAAGAATCCGATTCCAATATTCCCTATGATAAGGCCACCTATATCAAAGCATGGTGCTGTGAGAAAACTAAATTATTTCTAATTAATTCACTAGTCTTCAAAGAAGGTAAAGGATCAAGGCATTCCCAGAGCAGCAGAATGTTAAAGCATCCATCAATAAAGAGGCCAAAGAACCTGAATTTATCTTTCATTGAAAAATTATTTTGCTGTGTCTTAAAAATCATTATAACATTACTGGTTCATAATCAAATTGTTTCCATCTTGTGTGCACCAACAAAATTCAAATACACAGGAAATGTTTACACATAAAATCTAAGTCTAAATGCAAATCAATACATTCATTATGCTCAACCCTTCACTATATAACAATACACCATCCTCAAGTTGTCTTGTGCCACTAAAAACATACACCTAAGCTAGAAATAAAATCAGACCAAGACAGCCAGCAAGCGATCTGCTGTTCTCTCAATTTCACGGACAAAACTTACAGTTTGTATCTCCACAAATTTGTGTATTTTAATACCCCACATAGCTGACACCACTGACATTAAATCCTTGGCTGAACATTGTTATCTTTAATATCTAGATTAGTTATCATAATAATACTATAATACATCCCAGTTAACAAAAGCCTCTCTCTGTGCTCAATAACAGGTTACAACTTATACATCTAGTTACATCACGCAGTGTGTTCAGACACAGAGTACAGTAATGATCCATTTTTTCAATGGGGAAAAATTATCAATCTTTCAAAAGCAATTTTGGAATCAATAAAAATATATATATTTCTGCATAACATTTATGGTGATTTTACTGTGTACAAAGAAATACAAGGTAGCCTGCTTTTCAGGTTTGTTGCTACCACTCGACAGGAATGTTATAGTTTCACAAATTTATGACTTAAAAATTTACAACATCTATAGAATCACGAATTTTCCCCACTGAAAGGAGTCATTACCATATGACCAGGACTGGTTGGGGTCCAAATGACATCATCAGATAGCCAAATAAATTCATAATTACCTGAGGGGTATTGTGGACTGTTCCCAGTGGAGATGGGCATGCCTAACTTAGTACTAGGCTGGAAATACACCTTAATATCCAGCAGTGGCTTATTAAGCTGTCTAAAAAAGAAAAAATAAATAAATAAATAAATAATAATAATAATAATAATAATAAAAGCCAGCATGTGAAGGAATGACAGTCAAAGAGGAACTATCCCGCAGCAGAGGCTGCTGAATCCCCTTCAGTTAACTTGGTCACCTTGTGATGTCATTCATACTTGAACCAGTTCTGGTTTATCCAAGGACACAATAAATACACAATGGTACACGGTTCATATTAACAGTTATACCCTACAACATTTCCACCACAGTTCTGATGCTCACATACAATATAAAGTGACAGAATCCATTACCTACATCTAAGCAGCTAACAGGTATATATAACATTTACAAAGCAAATCTCCAAGGACAAAGCAGCAGGTATTATCTCATTAATGCTTGACGTGCACTTGTTCCACTCTGATGGTGCACCTTGGAGAGTTGGTCCCTTTAATATCCCACGGTTTCCGTGGTAACTGTTTCCGTGGTGTGGGTTTCCTGGTGGGTGCTGGTATGCTGGGGTTGAGGACCGCCCTCTCTCCAGGTACGGAAACGGAAAAAAGCATCCACTCCATAGACTATCATTACCACAAATGCAAAGAACTACAAAGGAAAAAAAATGCACTTCTTTTATTTATTTTGAATTTAAATTATTGTAATTGTGTACAGTAGATTATTTACAAAACTTAAATTTCCACTGTCCTAGATCCTTCACCACTTTTCGGGTTCGTTGGGTTTTATTTGTTTATTAAGTTATATATATTTTTGAATAAACACTCACCTTAAAAGTCGGAGTTGAGGTTCACACATGTCTCGTGTTTATTTGTTTGTTTCTTTATTTTAATTGTAAATATATATATATATATATTACATTTAAATGTGTAAGGAGTTCTGAATAAGACATTAAGACAGAAAGGGAATAAAAAGGGGTTGTTTATGTGTAGATAAAAACTATAATTTTCAAACCAAACTGGACTCATTAAAGGTTAAATGAGAAGTAAAACAGGCGATCTACTTACAGCAGCGGCTCCAACTGCTGACCAATAGGGGGCTCTGACTGCACACACAATGGCGGCAATTAAATACAGGACCACAAACACCGCGTAATAGATGAACAGCTGAAATAAACATAAAACATGAGAGACAGTGCCACCTTGAGTTGATGCTAAATAAAATAACCTTGAAGACATTTTGGACATATAAAGGTGAAGAATAAGTTGAAGAGTCACTTATTAGAAAAAAAACATGAACACATTCATTGTAAGCATTATCAAGTATGTCCTCACTTACAATACAAAAGGCTTTAATACATCTATGGGTGGGTTATTAAAGCAAATATTTCTTCTTATTTCTCTTTTTCCAAATGATAATAATATTGGGAGGTACATATATTTTCAGTGTATCTGGTAAGGGATTCAGAAATTTACAAAGTAAAGTAATTTGTATAAAAATCAGTCTCACAGGTTTGAATTAAAGACATAACACTGTACTTTGTTTTCATAAGACCAGAGTAAAAGCTCCACTTGAAATGGTGAACACTGGAACCTAAACCCATCCTTACAATCAAAGTCCAAGGTCCAGGCAGCCGCGGCAATATGTTCAGGAAGATGATGACAAAGATGGCGGCTGTGGTAAGAAATGCGGTCATGGAGACGAACTGCACCCAGCCTCCTCCGTATCCGACCCAACCCAAGGGAATCGAGGCACAGATGAACACGATCAAGCTCAACACCTGAAATTATCAACAATATATCATATACATACAGTGTAACAGAAAAATACATAAAACAAAATAACAAAAATATTCTTCATATGGCCTGCACGGGCAGTGTATTTCATAGAAATATACAGCAAGTAAAAGCATAAAAACACATATACCTAACCAATATGAATTTGTGTCGTTTGCACAACAAGTTAAATTTATTACATATGAAGCCAACAGTAGATAAATATTTTAAATTCCATTACAAGGTATGTGCAGAGGTAAATTTTCATAAAGCCAGGTGTAACAACTAGTAAACTGGGGCCGTATTCTCAAAACTTTGTNCACCTTGAGTTGATGCTAAATAAAATTACCTTGAAGACATTTTGGACATATAAAGATGAAGAATAAGTTAAAGAGTCACATATTAGGAAAAAAAATGAACACATTCATTGTAAGTATTATCAAGTATGTCCTCACTTACAATATAAAAGGCTTTAATATAACCATTTGTGGGTTATTAAAGCAAATATTTCTTCTAATTTCTCTTTTTCCAAATGATAATAATATTGGGAGGTACATATATTTTCAGTGTATCTGGTAAGGGATTCAGAAATTGATACAAAGTAAAGTAATTTGTTTAAAAATCATTCAGTTTCACATGTTTGAATTACAGACATTACACACCGGACTTTGTTTTTATAAGACCAGAGATTAAGCTCCACTTGAAATAGTGAACACTGAACCTAAACCCATCCTTACAATCAAAGTCCAAGGTCCAGGCAGCCGCGGCAATATGTTCAGGAAGATGATGACAAAGATGGCGGCTGTGGTAAGAAATGCGGTCATGGAGACGAACTGCACCCAGCCTCCTCCGTATCCGACCCAACCCAAGGGAATCGAGGCACAGATGAACACGATCAAGCTCAACACCTGAAATTATCAATAATATATCATATACATACAGTGTAATAGAAAAATACATAAAACAAAATAACAAAAATATTCTTCATATGGCCTGCACGGGCAGTGTATTTCATAGAAATATACAGCAAGTAAAAGCATGAAAGCTATAAAAACACATATACCTAACCAATATGAATTTGTGTCGTTTGCACAACAAGTTAAATTTATTACATATGAAGCCAACAGTAGATAAATATTTTAAATTCCATTACAAGGTATGTGCAGAGGTAAATTTTCATAAAGCCAGGTGTAACAACTAGTAAACTGGGGCCGTATTCTCAAAACTTTGTAACTTACAACAATTTGTAACTATTTACGTGAATTTGTATCTTAGACTTACACGGTATTCTCAAAACTCACAAACTCTTGTAACTTTTCACGTAACTTTCCGGAAGTGACGTTTGGTCCATGAATAACCCGCATCGACGTATTTTACTGCCGTGCTTTGCAGCGATAAAACGCTTATCTATACATAAAACTATCTTGAAATATATTAAAAATTATTCAGAAAGATGTTTTCCAATATTTTCTTACAAGTTTTCGTCGGAAAATCCACTCATTTTGAATGTGCTTCCTCCGACATGCGAGCTCAGAAATCGGACTTGGCTCCTCTTGTGGGATTCCCCCAGCTGGGATTCCCTAAGTTTGCCGCTAGCAAAAAGCGCTTTATTTCATTAAATTTACAATGAAAACGTGTGTGAATATATCCTACAGTAAGTAGCTTATAATAAACACTCACCACATTGTTCAAATTTGATACTTGCTTGGATTTCATGCTGTCTTAGGATACCAAAGCCATACAAATAAGTTCACACAATTCCTCTCTATATATGCCATTCAGTTAGATATAAAAGTGTAATTTTTATTTTAATATATAAACTTTGTTATTAAATATGAGTGAGTATATTTGTTTTTCTATTCACGTTTGCTGTGATTTTTTTATGATGAAGAGTTAGTAAATGTTATTTTCATGGTAAGCCACAAATAATAACACAAATTAATTAACACAAATAAGTTGGCCCAATATTTCAAAAATGACATTCAATTTAATATGGACATGTTATTTTTTAATAAAACTTATAATTGTGATTAATTAATGGGTGTTGGTATAAAAGTGAAAATATTTTTCCAGTACATCTTTGTTGTTACCATAAAGAGTGAGTATTTTTTTTCATGTCAGTATGAAATGCACATTGTACTGGTACAAATGAACATGTACCTACAGGTTGGCTAGCATAAGCAGTAAAAAAATGAAAATAAAGGATTTTGTAAATAAATAAATAAAAATATAATAATAATAATAATAATAAATTTGGTCATTTTCAATAATTTCAGGTATTTTTTGTTTCATATCATATCTACTTATTTACACTCACTGAAAACTAAAAAAATATTCTTTCCTTCTGGATTTTTTCACCAACAGTTGTCATATGAGATGTAATTCTTTACAAGTGCCTGTGTTCTTGTTTTATTTCACTGCAGCTGAGACTTACAAAACCTTGACAAAGATTCATATGTAGTGTGTGTGCATAAAATGTGTGGGTGACACAGTAAACATTCATGAAATATGAATCTGTTGCTGGGTACATCCAAAATTATTTCATTTTAGGTGTATTCACTCATTTTGAACCTTGAAATGTGCTTGAATTTAGTTTTAAACCTGGATGCATGAAGGTAGTAATTCACAGGAAGGGGAGATATTCCTTTTTTGGACATTATTTAATTTCTATTTTTTTAATGTTTCATCACCAGTGTGTATAAAATTTAATTTAAATGATATATTACTTCCTCTTTTCTTTGTTATAGAAACTTATGAGTGACTTTACATTGCCCTCATTTGCATTTAAAGAGTCCTTGAAAAGCAATTGAATTAGTCTCAAAATTCTTATAAAATCCTTGAATTTGTTATTAGTGTTCATGTATGAACCTTGACATTGCACACTTTCATCATAGAAAGTTATACAAACATCCATGATAACTCACAAAAAATTGAAATAAAAGGTGAAAGGTAATGATTATCCCTAAAACTGACTTAAGAAAAAAAGAAAAGAAAATCTGTTTTGTGACTACAAATTTTAAGCCACAGCTGAAATATATTTCATAGCGAATTATAAGATGTTTCTATTTGTTAACTCAAATTAAACAAATCAGTTTCCTGAAAATAGAAGGAAATTCACTGTACAGTGCATACAATTTTAGTTTCAGCCATAACATGATGATAAGAAATACAAAATACTTCTTTATCCAAAACAAAACCCAAAATAATTCCTAATGAGAGATATATGATGGAAAGAGACATAATCTTGTGTGTGCATGTATGTGTGCATGTATGTGTGAGTGCATCATAAAAGAGAAAATAGAGAAAAAAATGATAAGCATTAAAACTTTCAGTTATTATTATTGTTATTCATTATTATTGTAACAAGACTAGATCTAAATATTTGTATTCTTTGAGGAACTTAAATAATGAAATATACTTATTTCTTTGGCAAAAAGTTTTTTTTTAATTTTAAAATTAATATAATAATAATAATAATAATTTATTCGAGCATTAAATGTGACAGTTACATTTGTTAGCCCTCTATACTACAAATATATAGATAAATAAATAGTTATACATCACTACGGATTACTACTAATACAGTGTTTAAGATTATTAATTACAGTGTATACGTTGTTTAAAATACTTATGGTATATATTGGTTTTACTTTCCCTTATCTTAGAACTGCAGCAAGTAGATGGGACTATGCAGGAATTATATTTTGCAATTGCAGTATGAAATCAATTTAAAAATGAAACAGTAGCAAGAAAACAGCTATAATTGTTATGATCAAAGTGCAATCTAAGCAAGTGTCAGTTTACTCTAAATAAGAATTTACTCTGTAACTTTGTAATAAGTACAATGTTATATAAGGAAAGCCATAAGTGGAATACTATCAAAAATGCCAATACGTACAATATTTTACTAACTCACACATTACTAGTAAGTCTTTTTTGGTATTTAAAACAGTTTTAAGTCATTTGTTTTTTCCATCAATGATAATTATCTCATTATTTGAACTGGACCTCCTTCATTTAAATGGATAAACTGAGCCTTTTAAATTAGTTAAAATACTGTATAAATATCTAAAATCACTCGAAAGTAGATGATAAGTCATTATTATCATCATTGAACGCTGCCAATCCATTATTATTTACAGAACCTACAAAATAAAGTTAATGAAACTTATGTATAGTTTTAAATGCAGCCATCAGCTGATCGAGGTCACCATGACGTGCCGAAAAGGGGGTCAACATTTGCAACTTTTTATCTACACGTTTCTATTCCTTTGGCAGCCTCTCGATACTTTTTGATACATAGTGTGCAGTATATCATTTTAAAGCATTTGAAATGTACTTTTTTGTGATGTAGAAGGCATATATTTTCTCCACCACATGTATGGAATAGAGGCATAAGAACCTGAGTCAATGAATTGCAGATAAAAATGGCGATTTTCAGACACACCTTCACGACAAAATCTCACAGAAAATTTGTAAATAATATAATGACAGCAAACATTATACATCAGTTAAAAGATAACTTTTTTTTCCGAACAAAACCCCATCTATTAACCTCGTTTTTTTAGTATAATTTTCATTTATTCACTGACTAAACATATATCTTCATCCTAAAAAAGTCGGAAGCTTCAGAAACTGAAATTCAACCGTCGTTCGATTGATTAATCTTGACTAACAACTAAAGTGTTTTATATTGCCAAAAAGCTCATTAACTCGGCTTTCTCACAACACTAGTAATTCTCTCACATTTTTTAAAAAGTATCAGTTTTCATTTTAGTTTAAAAATTCGGACACCCTGCCAAACTGCCATGTTGCCATCGCGCGATCGATAGAAACGTATTATTCTCATCTAAATCGTTAACTTTAGGCAACTAACCTGAAATATCCGAAAGGTTTACCTTTCTCGCTGATAATAATACATCCAAGGTTAAATAATTTTACTTGCTGTCAAAAATATCCGACAATAAACACGAGCATAAAATTCCCGCAGACAACACTTTCTCCCCGACTTTTCACCAAGTGCGCATGCGTACAACTTTTTGTAGCGACTTACAACAGCTCGGAAGCAGTTGTAAATTTACGTGCATATTTACAAGAGTTTGTAACTTACAAACCTTCGAGAATACCAACTTACGTGAACGATCGGACTCACGTGAAAAGTTACAAGAATTTGTAAGTTACAACCTTTCGAGAATACGGCCCCAGGTCCCTGACGCCCCCCCCCCCCCCCCTTCACTGGACTCACAAACATTCACAGCATGAAAAATCAGTTTACCACTAAGATCTGTAAAAGGCAGACAAAAAGCCACGAAAAAGACACTAAGAAATTTCCTTCGTCCATAGATCTACGACACTAAACTCAAGACTTGGCGTTTGATTGACAATAACAATAACATGCACTTTTGTAAGTGATTTGTAGCTTCCACGAGGCACTAATTTTTTATATGAAAACGATAGTGACGCAATCCATACGTCTTATCTATTCCTATATTACCATCTACTTACTAGAGGTCTTGAGGCAAGCGTGTTTATAGCAAATAAACTACTTTCGTATTCAAGCCCTGCTTCTCTTTACAAGATCCACACTCTCGCGAGATTTCGACGCTCATCTGCACCTTCCGCCAGACGTCGCTTTTAATGTTGTAGGAAGTGGTACAATCCCAAAATCTCTGTTGAAAAAATAGTGTAAGCCATGCATAATTGCAGGGCCTATAACTTGGATGCATATCACGTCGTGATGACATATATGCAAAACAAACATATATATATAAATATACGCCGTATATTAACCACACCACCCTTCGTCTTTCGCGAGTAGCGAAGTGATTTTTGAGGCTACGACTGAATAGTTGGGGGTCGACGTGTGTTCTTTCTTGTCCGTTATGAGGTTATCTTGTCACTTCAAAATAAATTGGGGCGAATTTGTTAACTCTGACTGATGACGTAAAAGCATTTTTTTTAAATTGTAATTTCACCTGAACAACTATCAGCGCATTGTAACGCTTGTATATAGGCATATGGTTAAATGATTAATCACAACAATGGAAACCACAATTTGGCGAAAGAAAATTTTCATGTAAGGCTTCTGATTTTATCTTTATTGAGGAAAAATAATGCTTGTAATTAGTGCTCATTTCCTATTAAACAAATAAGCTCACACCCTAGTTGTCTATCATATAGATTTTCACGACATGTTTAAGTTACGGTTTAACGATGGGAACCGATAACTAGGGCTATTTCACACCGAATGCGAAGCCGACCCTCCCCCCTCTCCCCCCCCTCCTCCCACCGATGAAGCGCCCCGAAAATTTTTGATATTTTAGATGGCGAACGGTGCCATTTGGTACGGTGAAGAACTATGATCTAGTCAAAATTCTAATTTCATTGGTGTGGATTTTCTCAGAAATCGAGGGGGGGGGGGCGAGAACCCCTCCAAAAGCCACCACTGCTCTAACCGGTATAACGAAGGGAATCAAGCAACGGAAAAGGAAGTTTGTGCCCTAAAAGTGTAAATGTTGTTTAGTTATTATATCTTACATCTTCACAAATTGCAAGTAATAAATAACGTACAAATAGAATCAAATTAAAGGAAAGCGAGTTGCTATGTTCAAGTTTAATTTCCTTAAGAGTGTAGAAATAGTCTTCATGTCAGGAAATGTCAAAGTCACACATTGTTTTATTTGATTGTTTAATTTCACTATCAAATTGTAAGTTTCTAACACGTGTATAACTCATGCTGAGTTGTGGGTGCGAACCATGATGTACTGCAAATAATATTGTAACGGATTTTATGTTGGTACTTCAGTCCGTACAGTATTAAAAGGGATTCGTCATTGTTTTAAAGGTTCAAATCCAAGAAACAAACTGCTGATGTAAAAAGGTTCAAAATGTTTATTAAAATCCAACAAAATGCAATGTGGTAATAATGCCCACTCTGATATTCAGTTATTGTCTTTAAGTCCACGTTAAATATGTGTCCTTTGGATATATTCAGTTAATGTCCAGTTTTAGTTCTGCATAAACTTCCAATCGGTGGGAGACTGTGACAGCAGTGGCTCCTCTTCTACCGGCCCACAGCTACAAGTGCCAACACGGTGCGCACCTTTGGGAGAGTCTAAGCGGTAGACTTCCCTCCTTCAATCAACGACTTAGGGTGCTGGCACGGCGCACACCCTCG